TACGCCTACCTGGCTTTCCCGGCAAACCAGCACGGAACTTCGGAGTGGTCACCACCTTCATTTTCCTGCAATGGCTCAACAGCCCCACCCACAAGAGCAACAGCAGCTGCAGCAGCAGCCACAGCAGCAGCAGCAGCTGCCTTCTCTGATTCTCCTGCCTCCACGAGACCCCGGAACCTTCTCGGGCACAGGCAAGGACAAGGTAAATGTTGAAGATTGGGTCGCATTGTACAAGCGCGTGAGCAAATACTATAGGTGGGACCCCACGTTGATGCTGGCCAACGTTGTATTTTACTTGCGGGATACGGCACTCACCTGGTATGAGATGCATGAGTCGGAGTTGACCAGCTGAGACATTTGCAAACTAAAGCTTGTCGAGTTGTTCAGCAGGCCGCGAGGAAAGACCTGGAATGCCGCGCGCAAACATCGGCGGAATCGTATGTATCTTATTAACAGGACGTATTGGACCTCTGTCGAAAGGTGGACGAGAACATGAGTGAAACTGACAAAATCGCCCACATAATAAAGGGAATTGCCGATGACGCCTTCAATCTGTTGATCATTAAAGATTGCGCCCCCGTCGACGCGGTTGCGAAAGAATGTCAGCACTTCGAGCCCGCCAAGAACCATTGCATAACCCGCCAGTTTTCACGTCTGCCTAATACTGCAGCCACTTCGACCTGCGAAGACAGACCCAAGTTCACGCAAGCTACATCGTCCGAAAATGTCACCCGAAGCATTCGCCGCTAACTCAAAGCATTGGCTCCAGCAGCCTTCGCTTCCAACGGCCCTCAAGACAACGCATCCATCATCTCCCTCATCGAAGCCGTCACTCGCCAAGAAATCTCGGCATCGCACCTGTTTGCACTACCGAGAGTTCGGCTTCAGTTAACCAGATTCCGGCGTACCCTTCACGCTACCCTTCCCGTTACCGGAACCCTGCTGAATGGAGGACGTCAGATGATCGACCAATCTGCTTTCACTGCTCTCGCGCCGGACACATTGCGCGCTACTGTCGCAATCGTTGGACATCCAATTAATCCTGGAACACTGGGACATGGTGTCGCTTTGAGGGCAACTCTCGCCGGTTTTCTACTCCGTACAATCCTCAGCCTGCTCCTACTAACGTTCAGGGCCGAAGGTTCAGCCGGTCACCATCACCCAAAGACCGCCGATCTCTCTCGCCGATGATATCTCGATCCGGGTCCCCTGCACGACCTGGGCCCTACACTTCGAGAAACTAGACCATGCAGCTCCCGGAGGTGACTCTGCATTAACAACCCGTTCTTCAAATTCTCTTTTGATGATTTACACGCCGCATTATTTTGGACCTTTTGGTGAATGACGTAACCGTTACAGCCCTCATAAGCACTGGCGCACAAATTTCAGTCATGAGCACTGCTCTCTGTAGTAAACTGCGAAAAGTGATCACGCCTCCTCTTAAGTGTGCAGTAATGCTTGCTGATGGGAGCACATCTACCGTTCTCGGCGTGTGCACCTCTCGCGTGTGTATTGCTGGGCGCCAGACCATCGTCTTGTTAACCGTGCTTGAGCAGTGCCCACATGACGTGATTCTCGGTCTCGACTTTCTCTCTGCTCACTCCACCCTAATCGACTGCTCGACGAGCCTTCTTCAGCTGGAACTGTCTTTTGATGCCGCTGTGATGCTCAAAGTCACCTTTGTGCCACCGAGCTCCTGCACCTTCCACCGCAAGCCACGACTTTACGGGCCGCTCATGTGTGATCCGCCTGTGCGCGACGGTGAATATGTCGTTTCACCTATTACCAACGTTGTGCTAAAGCATTCTATTGCTGTTCCGCACAACGTGGTAAGAGTACGCCACAACCAGACCCATTTGTCTCTTTTGAACTTTGGTTTCTTTGCGCACGTGCTGCCTGTTGGTATTAAGCTAGGCGTCGTGTCGCAGTTTCGAGAGTGTGATATCTCTTAGCTGTCAGCTGAGCAACCTTCTCCGCATGTCAACTTGTTCACTGCGTCCAACATTTCAAGCATTGACATTGCCAAAATGATAGCGCCAGATTTTTCGCCCTTCGAAGCACAATACCTCCCTCCACCGTCTTTTGACATCCTATGCGGACATATTTGATCTTGACAACCACCCATTAGTCCAGACATCAGTTGTGACCCATCGCATCAACACCGGCGATGCCAACCCAATACATCGCCACCTTTGCCGTGTCTCTGCTGCCGAACGCTCTGTCATCCAGAAAGAGGTCGAGAAAATGCTCGCCAAAGGCGTCGTCGAACACTGATCTAGTCCATGGGCATCCCCGGTTGTGCTTGTCAAGAAGGACAACACATGGCGGTTTTGGGTCGACTATAGACATCTTAACAAGCTCGCTAAGAATGACGTTTACCCCTTACTAAAAATAGCTGACGCCCTTGACTGCCTTCATGGCACAAAGTTTTTCTCGTACATTGGCCTTCGATCTGGTTATTTGGCAGATCACTGTTGACCCACGGGACCGAGAAAAAACAGCATTTGTAACCCCCGATGGGTTATACCAATTTAAAGTAATGCCATATGGGCTTTGCAAAGCACCGGTCACCTTTGAGCGCATGATGGATTCCCTTCTGCGCGGCTTCGAATGGTCCACTTGCTTATGCTACTTAGATGATATAATTATTTTCACCGATGTTCGCGAGCCATCTTGAGCGACTGTCCAGCATTCTCCAAGTGTTCCGTAACGCTGGTCACCATCTGAACTCCTCTAAATGCCGTTTCGGCCATCGGGAAATAACTGTACTTGGTCACCTCGTTAACGCATCTGGTGTACAGCCTGATCCGGACAAAATTCGCGCAGTGACTCAATTTCCCGTGTCCTCTTCTCCTAAGGATGTCCGAAGCTTCCTTGGTTTGTGCTCCTATTTCCACCACTTCATACGGAATTTTGCCGATATTGCGCGGCCTCTCACAGAGCTTTATAAAAAAGATGTCCCATTTACTTGGAATTCACCTCAAAGTGCTGCGTTTTCGGCGCTCATTGCAGCCCTCACGACTACGCCAATATTCCCGCTGGCTCAAGCTCCCCTGTCACATACGTCCGCGATGCCATAGAACGAGCGGACGCAGCACGACAGATTGCCCGAGAACGACTCATACTTTCTCAAGCCTCTCAGAAATATAGATAGGATCGTCATCACCGTGAAGTTTCGTATGCAACCGGTTCTCCAGTACTCTTGTGGACCCCATGTCATCACATCTGCCTCTCAAAAAAGCTTTTATTTCGCTATGACAGACCATACAAAGTCCTACGCAAGGTCAGACCTCACCTACGAGATACAGCGAGTCGTCAACGAAGCGCACCCAATGCCACCACCATCTACTGTTGTGCACGTCGTAAGAGTGAAGCCTGTGTCACCCAACACTCCACTTTCGTGACAAGCGCCGGTTGGGCGCTTTAACGCCGCGGTGTAGTGCCACAAGGCAGTAGTTGGGTTGGGGCATAAAGCGGTAGAGGGTTTCTTCCTAGAAGGAAAGACTACGATGTGGATAGAGACTGGTCCCAGCCCGCCAGTGTGCCAGCCATTGTAGTCGCGTGTAAACATCGTAAATATCTGCAAATATACCTATCTTCTTTCGCAACGAAGCAGGGTGGAAATTGCCAGATTTCAGGTATTTTGAGAATGGATGATATATGCGAAGCACTAATGAGGAAGGTTTATATGTCAACTTAAAATGAGCGCAACATTACGTATCGGACGGATGTAGAACACAGTAAACACAAGTAGAAATGTTATGCGCACTCACTTATCTAGATAAGATGCAAGTATCTTGTGTATAGTTACGTACCGAGGGCACCACTAACGTTTGCAATACCAGCACCAGCAGTGGTAGGCATGTAAATTATGCCGTAGAAGACTTCCATGTGATGATTATCGTGTTTGCGCCTGGTATTTGTGTTCGCCATACATTTATGTTACGTAATACCAAATTTGGTATACGTGAGGCTAGCGAAATGGCCGCGACGGCCCTATGAACATGTAGTCAGATTTTACAAGGCACGCATGCCATCATTATCTTGTTTGGGCGAGTCATTTGCCTTTGTCAACTATTCACGTCACGTAATACCAAATTAGGTATACGTGAAGCTAGCAAAACAGCTGCGAGCGCATCATGAGCGTGTCGTGTAGTCATGTGCTTACGTGACAGGCCTGTCATGATTATCATGTTTTCACCAGTCATATACCATCGTCCCCCATTCACGTCACGTAATACTAAACTTGGCATATGTGAAGCTAGCGAAACGACCGCAAATGCACCATGAGCGTGGCATGTATTCATTACTTACATGGCATGCATGGCATGATTTCCTCGTTAGGGCCAATCACTTATGTTCGCCATGCAGTCATGTCATACCATACCAGTTTTGCAATCTGTCATGTGAACGAAACCACCGCAAAAGCAGCGATACTATGACATGTATATCATGACATTCATGACATACATGTCATGATTTTCTTGACATGAGTAGTCACTTATGCTATTAATAAAGCCATGTTTATGCCATACCAATTTTTGTGTATAGATCCCATTATCGAAACGGCCAGGAGAGCTAAAAGTCGTGGGCGGATAGATAGATAGATAGATAGATAGATAGATAGATAGATAGATAGATAGATAGATAGATAGATAGATAGATAGATAGATAGATAGATAGATAGATAGATAGATAGATAGATAGATAGATAGATAGATAGATAGATAGATAGATAGATAGATAGATAGATAGATAGATAGATAGATAGATAGATAGATAGATAGATAGATAGATAGATAGATAGATAGTCGGTGATTTTTTTTTTCTTATTCGAGCGAGGAATAGCATGCACATCTCCACACAAGACTGACATGCACAAATGAAAAAGGTGTACTAACCGCTATGTCTAGCTGGACAGCCTTTGTACAAAGTGTACTTTACCATGTACTTCAGGGCTACTTACACCAGATGTCAAGCCATGCATGTCACCTCAGTAATTTGGGCCTATTCAACAAACGACTTTATTTAACAGCTCTAGTAAACCTGTATGTTTCAAGGCGTCTGCAAACATATTCGTGTGTAAGCTTTATGGCAGTGGAGTAATCATACGCCCATCACAACACAGAGTGGTCCGGGTTCAATGTGCATGAATCATTGCGCTCAGCCGCACTAAAGCTCTCTGGCGACTACAGCTTGGGTCCCTTGTAGATGAAAGCCACGTGCACCACGTGGCAAATGGCCGCTATCAGTCCCATAGCCTGCAAAGCAACATGGAAAAAAGAAGTGAGGTCGTTAGTTCTCGTTCTTTTTCATTTCATCATTTCTTAAGTTTATACAGTATCCTCTCCGGTATCACCTGTTAACATGAAAAATTCTCAGTTTCCTCAAAAGGCGAAGCCCTGATAGCAATAGTGATGCATGTAACAGCTATAAAATAAACGTAGTTTCTGTGGCCTTATTCACGGCACTAAAAAATCACATACTATTTAAATTGACTCGTGTGCGTAGACATGCACCAGCACATATGACTTGTGTCTTTCGCTGCCTCTCTTAACGGTGACGGAAAAAACAGGTCAAGCAGAAGTTAGCAAAAGCAATTGGTTGTTTCTCACTTTTTTCGGATAAGACGAGCTGCAACGTTAGGCACGCAGACAGTCCCCCAGCTCACTCAACCTTTACAACTGACGCAGATTTTGCAATATTGGGGAAAAAATCACCTTTTATGATTTCGAACGCGCCTGGGTGGAAGGAGTCCATTCTCCTAGGACAATTCTAGGAAGATCAATCATAAGGGACCGTAAAAGCCACTTCAAGTGGGCCTTTTTTTAAGAACGTCACTGGGCTCATCGGTGAATATTGCATACACACAACAGTACGGCGCGGTGCTTTCGCCGTCATCGCAAAGCAGCTCTCAGAAGAACTCAAGAAAAGGGCGTGGTTTAGTAGCTCCATCTTGCATACCTGCCAAGTCTCCCAGAGATTCCCGGATTTTGACCATTTCTTACATTTGTACGGTTGTAATGAAAGTGTCCCGGAAATCGAAATTTCTGTGCGTGATCTGACCGCATGCATTCACGAAAATCTAGGCCAATCTGATACACACTTCTTGCAAACGTATCGCATTTTACGAACCCATCGTTTCTGAGAATCAGGGATACGAAACCGGCAGATACAAATTCACGAAGTTCTCCAGTCGAACTTCATGGTGGCCATTGGGCCAAAATTCGTATTCCCTGAGCACTTTTCCTCGTCGCTGTGGGTGATATAAGCTTTATTGTATTAAAGTCGTCGAACGCAGCCCGAGAGCAGCGAGCTCAAAGCTTCGGAATTAATAGGCGCGGCCAGCGCAAGCACCGTCTTCTATGCGTGTGGTTGTCGTTTTCCACAACCACGGTGGTCGAAACCGCGGTCGCTCTTCACGCAATTATATATGACGACAACGTAATGACAGAACTTCGCAAGTGTGCTGGTGCCCAAAGCTTGATCAATTAAAGTGGCACCGCTTTCTGCAAACGCTGCAGGAAAAACTGCGGCAGATTCTATGATAGATATCAACAAAAAAATGGCCCCGTATCTGCATGTTTCATTGCAAATGTCGTCGAAAGACGATAGTCTGGCGTGTGGAGAGAGTAAACAAAACGTTTATTTGATGCTCTGCGTGAGAAATTCGGTGAATGGAATTCTAGAAGCGCTGCGTTAGACATTATTGATCTGTGCAGCGAAGGTGAACCAGCGCATCGAGGCACGTCAGACACGAGCGCTATCTGGCAGTTATCTTCGAAAACGAAGCAAGGCGTGCGCGCCCACGGAAAAAGATGCGCACAAGTCTCGGAGGCGATAAGGTATAGAACAGAAAGCGACGGGCAGGTGCCACCACCATGTCGTGTTAGCAAAACGTTAGAAACACTTGCTTTATTGAGCATATCGCGTTGCACCAAAGTCAATTTAAATAGGTCGCGAAAGTCGGAATGAAAAGTGGTCTCAAACCTATTGCGAAAGACATCAACGACCACGTGTCGATTGAAGCGGGAGTAGGAAATGGAGCGGACAAATAGTGAAAAGGATAAAAATTAATTAAACGTTTCTTTTCATGAGTTTTAATTTTGTTTGTTACAATAAAATTGTAGATTACTTTAAAAAGGACCTTTTGGTCTTTGGTATGTGGCTGAGTGCCTTTTTTTTCGTTTGGTATTAGAAACAGCGTGCACATGCAGGCAGTCTGGTAACATGGGCCAACAGATTTGAGGGCATATCTACAGTGTCTCGAAATATACTAGCTAGTGTGCTGAGCGTGCGCATTCCATACGAGAGAGGGTGGCCCCGCATGTGATGATGGCACTCAAATGCCACCAGCGGCGCTGCGTGTCGAGAGGGTGCACGAACGCACGAATTTCCTCTCGTCCTGTTGCTGCCGGAGCCTCGCCACGTTTAAAATCAGTGTGTGACAGCTGCCATCTGATTTACTGTGAACTTCGACGGCGTCATATGTACAGTGCGGCACCCTGAGATGCTAAAAGCTAAGCGGCAATGCAAAGAAAGGACGTGTTTTGTGCCGCTGTGTCGAAAAAGTTATTGGTCGAACAATTGAATGATATGTAGGGTTTAACGTCCCAAAACCACCATATGATTATGGGAGACGCCGTAGTGGAGGGCTCTGAAGATTTCGGCCACCTGGGGTTCTTTAACGTGCACCCAAATCTGAGCACACGGGCCTACAACATTTCCGCCTCCGTCATAAATGCAGCCGCCGCAGCCGGGATTCGATCCCGCGACCTACGGGTCAGCAGACGAGTACCTTTGCCACTACACCACCACGGCGGGGCATCGGTCAAACAAGGAAAATGTGTCTTGTTCCCCGCACCAATGGATCTCGCATGGCTTCTTGAATGGAAAAGTAGGATCAAGAGGGCAGACAGAAGGCTGTCGTGTGAGAGGGGCATTTTGGGAGTGACTCCATCTAACTATCTTTTCTGATTAGGGTGAACGGTTGTCAGAGAACGAGCGCTCAAAAAGGGCGCGCCGCCAAATTCTCGCAACGAACCGCCGGAGTGACGCCGCGAGGTCAACGAAAAAGAAAGAAAAAGAAAACAAACATCTAAAGGCTCCCCGGGCGCGCGAGCCTCCCCTCTCGGAAGCGTGGCTTCGCCGACGAACCTCCTCACCCCACAACGGCGGCCGAGCAAGCACTCGATTTTTCTAGATAGAAAGGGGCGTGGTCATACCGAGTTGAGTCATTCGCCGCGGAGGGCATTCCAACCGTCTCGCCCTCTCCCCGGCCTTCGCTGCGTATCGCGCCGACGAAATGACGAGAACCTTCTGGAATCTCGCGCGGAAGGTATTTAATCGAGCAGCCGAGACGAGAGATCAGGAGAAGACGGAAGTTAGCGCCAGAGCGCGTAGGGGATTCCGCCGTGTAGTCGGCGAAGGTTTTGTCCGTAGAGACAAAGCAGGAGAAGAAGATGATTTCCACCTGAGGGGTGACGACTCGAGCTACATGCAAGAATGTGTGTTTACCGCTATCGAGCGAAGACGCGTGGCAACAGCTGCGTGTGTGAAGCCGACGTGTTTCCGGCGAAGAAGTTTGAAGCTTGGAGAGTGGCCAATTGAAGACGCGAGGTTTCCTGGAAGAGAAACTTCGAGGGCAGCGGAACGACAACAACGCTGGACTTTGAGTGAGTGATTCTCGGAAGAGTATCATCCATACCTTTGTTCCAAGAACTTTGGACTAAACAGGTTTCCTATCTCTTTAGTCTTTAAGTGTCTTGGTTGTTCAATGTATGCGACTGCATTGTAGTGCGTATTGTTGTCTGTGTCCATTGTTTCGAGTGTGGCTGATTGTACTGTGTAGTACGTTGTCTGGTGGGTGACATATTGTATTCGACTATTGTGGAGTGTGCATACTTGTGTATTGTTTTTGATCTGCCATTATTGAGATTATAATTCTGTTTTGATTATCAACTTTCGGCTCTGACTTGTTCTTTGGGCCACAGCCGGCGTCCGCTGGCGCGCCAAATAGGACCACTTCTAAATTGTCCACGCTTTCGTGGTGCGGTTCGGGGGGCCGATGCTTTGGCCCTTGGAATTAGCCCGGCGATCGCCTCCCGAATTAACAGGACCGTGTGACAACGGTGTCGGGAACGAAATCGCCGTTTATTCATAATTTCAAATATCAATATTTATCTCAAAAATTGAAAATACCCTTTATAAATTTTATTCACACACTTTTTTCCCCATTTGAACGTGGGACTCTCTTCGCTACAACGTATTGATTATCATATGCGGCGAGTGTCAGATGGTTTATTGGCATGTTAACATTCTTTGTTTTCACTCGTATCCTAGTGCAATGCAGGCTAAGATGTAGAGGTTTTGGGTCTTCTGTGATAATTTTTGCTCTCAAGAACAAAGCACATTTTCAAAAATAACTCTGGTGGTTACACTGTCAATGGTCTTTGAAATTAATTTCTTTGTCTACTGCAACCACTTTGAGCACCTATCTATGTATCTATCTGTATATATATATATATATATATATATATATATATATATATATATATATATACACGTCTCGGTGCCCTTAACTTACGCTAAACGAAAATTTGTGTGGGAGGGTAAGAAAGATGATTTGATGAATATGACTCCCTGGTCCTGACATGAATAATTTCAAAATCCCGTCACGTACGTCATCAAACCCTTCTCGCCACATCTCCTTTTTTAACGCGTACGCGGTAAGCTGGCATTGGCAACGTTGACCCTTTGAATGCAAATAATAAACGTTTGTGTCCCAGCAGCGGAATAGAAGCCAAGCAATCTGCGTGGAAATCAAGTATTCTACTACAGAGCCACGCCAGGTTTTCGAAATAATTTGCAAGAAGAGCGTAATGCTCGTGAAACGCCTATTCAGGTTCCAGAGTTGGCTATCCAATTTCTTGCATATATTTAGCGTCACTTCGTAATGTTTCACTTAATAAAAAATTAGAACACAGTCACCTTCCATCAGCATGCTTTGCAAAGCATTGATTCCCAAGTTACGTGGGATCTGCCTTTTTTTTTTGCGGGTGGTAGCGGATGGCAAAATGTATATCACGAAGTGATCTTCATTTGGTATTTCAAAGCACCAATACTGTGAAAGCAATAGAGTAGTTCTTATACAATAAAGCATTTTGCAAAGAACACTCCGAAAATACAGAAAAATAAATGTTGGCCTCTCGCGGCTCAGCCTCCTGATAGCTTCGGAGTGCTTGCGGAGCGCGAGGATTGAACGCAAATGCACCCCTTTAAAGTTTTTGGATATTCTTTACACCCACTCGCACAGCGGCGCACCATGCAGGCGCCGCCGGCAGTCATCAGCTGCGGGGCCATCTCCTAGCACGCGCTCAGCACACTAGCCAGTATATTTCTAGACTTTAGCGTATCCAGGCAATATGCTATCAGAGCTTGTGTCGGCATGTTCTTTGGTTCGGCGTATTACCAGGTCAACGAGGCATCGCTACCTTTTTTGTGGTGGTTTTGTGAGTGCCTACAGAAGTTTACTTATTTTTCTTGTGCATTTCATAGCTCAACTAGCTCACAGAATGTGTATATAGCCGCTCCTGGGACTGCCGACTGCTTTCGCTGGCTCACGGCCAGCGCGTTGCCGGCGTGCCTTCGCTTTTGGTGACTGTAAATGCGGCAAGCTAAGCCGCAAGACGCTGTACTCTACGGCTGCCAAAGCTATATTTTTAAAACTTATATCTCGCTGCAGTAGTTTTCAACGATAGGGCAACATGAGTTTTTGAACTATTATGCTATTATACTCGTGAACAGTTGTCTCACAATTGCATCTGCGAAGTTTCTTGTGCATATTGCAAGTACGTCATTTGGCTAATAAAACAACTTTGCTTCCTCAATCTTTGTTATTTTAGTTTCTTTTTTTCTCGCATGCAATTAGCAAGACACAATTGAGATGCAATAAAATCGCGTAGTAATAAAGGCACGTTGAAGGCCAGCAAGTAAGAAAAATTTCAATTTCGCGCCATGCAGGGCAAATGCGTGACGTCGCTAGCGCTTCCTGTTGTGACATCATATTTATTTCTTGTTTTTTTGCTGCTTTCCTCTCCTCACGTAAATGGCGACGGTGGCAACGAGCCACCAACTACTGGATCCATGAGCTTCCATGGAAGTTAAGCTACCAGTTTACATATACTTTGGTTGCACTGTCAGCGCCACGTAATAAATGCTACGGTCCTTAGAACTGCTTATGCGTGCCTTCTCTAGCATAAAGCCACACATACAAAATATTCACGTGTTGTTATGGTGCCTCAGGTATGCGCAATATTTGCTTTTTAGTTGCCAATCGTACAAGTATGAATGCTGAAACTTGAGCAATATTGGTAAGTGCTGTGGATGGAGCTGGCCGTTTGGGTATTGCTTGGTGCCGTTTGGGGTATCGTTGTAGGAGACAAATAGACAAGTGTACAGACAGACCGAAATTTTTGCGTCAAAGGTCCCCAAGAGAGACCATATGAGACTATCGTCTTTAAAACGACCTATGAAGACACGCGCAAAGCCAGTGCACGCGGATTGAAAACGGAACTACCGTTAGCTGCAGCCGCCGCGCACGTAACCGCTGTCGCGGCGACGCAATGGTGATCTGCAAGCTCCTAGGGCACGCGGTTAACGCAGCGGTAGATTAAAGAGAATAAAGACATAAAGAGAAAGCTAGAAGCATTTTGGCGTTCCTTTCCAAGGAATGTAGAAACGTTGCACAGCTTTGACCCATGCTTTCATGGCAGCCAGCTGCTGCGTCCTCTCCATTCACGTGTGTCTCAGGAAGACATACGCCAATGTTTTTGCCAGATATGATTTTGCTAGTTGTTTTGATGGCACGGAATTCCGGGCAGTATTTGCGCTCCCCCTTCGAGGCTCACACCTTAGTTGGGAAACCCTACTGTCGCGTGTTCGGCCACTGCGAGCCATTTCAAGACCGCAACGCCAATGTATGCACTTGCGAGGTTGTTGGGAACCCCCACCCTCTCATGTTTTTTGAGATGTTGTTTCTTTGTTTTCGCATAAAACGGAGACCAAATAAATCGGTGCGACCCCCCCCCCCCCGCCCACGTTGTGGTAATCTCTCGAATTCAGAATCCTTGAGCTTGCGCAGATAACAATTAACTTGTCCTTTTAAGCAAACGATCAGCCTTTAAAGCATATATTGGCTGTAGGGGTGTAACCCTTCTTAATCATCGAAAGGGGGGCCTTCATTCTTGACCATAACTTTACCCAGTGGGACTTTTCACATCATTTTTTAATGCACGAGGTTTACGGCGACGCATGCGTCTTGACAGTGATGGCGACCAAGGACCTTTGATGTTGCATTAAAATGACTCTTCACTTTCCACCTTTACCTCCGGAAAGCCAAGTACCAATCGTGAGAAGTACGTGATCACTCAACTTTCATTTGTGCATCCATCGTGGAGCTTGTTCTCCTTCGAACTCATCATAAACAGCGGAAGGAAGAGAGGGGGGCGCGCTGTGACAAAACTTGGCTTCCACTAATTGAGAACCCTACTCTCGCCTGCTGTCGCACCACCTTAAACACACTTCTTTGTTGGCTTCAACTACTTTGTATTTCAACTTTTAATTATATCAGTTCTTATCAAGCAAAATACTAATTTATTCTATATATATTAATTGAAATAAATAAAATAAATAGTTCTTCCACCAATGTTCGTTCAACAGGCAAATGCTGACACCACATTTCATGCTTTCCAGTGTGCACGGATCAGCTTACAACGCATATCGAGACCGCTGGGGGCCTTTTTTCCCTTCACCGAGTGATCAATGCTGGTGAGAAAGGACAGAATAAAAAAGGAACCTTTACAAAATGCATCAATGTTTACTTACCCCCGAAGCAATGTAGCCCGAGGAGCTAAATCTGGTAACTTCAGCCAGGACAGCGATGCCACCGGCAGCATACAGCAACATTCCGAACACGTGGAACAGGAAATACTGGAAGAAGAAATGGAAGTCACTCGTGATGCTGAGACAAATTATATAAGGAAAAAAGAACTATTAGTTGTTCTGCGTACGAATACAACCAATGAGCGAAGTTTCTTAGAAATGGCACGCAAACAGCCATGTGCCTGATCTCGCTGCTGACATGCATGAAGGTGGTAGTATGGTGGTTGGAAGGGGCAGTGAGACGGGCAGGGGCCATCAGGTGCACATACGGGCGATGAAGTGTGGCGGCGGGTTTAGATGACGCAGCTCGCGTCAGGAGCGCGTTCCGCGGGGTTGTTCGAGCGTGGCTGACGGCTGCTGTATTTTGCAATTTTGCTAGTTGAGCAGCATCCATTCGTTGCATGCTTAATTTCTCATATAATATGCAAGTGAGCAACTGTATTGAGTTACCAGTATCTGCGCGGGATATGCGCTAGGTGGGTGCAATAGAAGGGAGGGTAACAGAGGCCAGTGTTTGTTATGTACATTTCAAGTTGGGCGTCCATTCTATAACAAACAAATGTGCTGAAGTTTTCTTTTTTCTTTTTATTTTTTTGCTGTTGTTACCTCCTTCACCCGTCACGGTGGCGTGGTGGTTAAGGCAATTAATTGGTTGCTGACCCGCACGTCACGGGATAAAATCCCGGCTGCGGTGGCCGTATTTTCGATGGAGGCAAATATTTATGTGCGCTTTAAAAAACCCTAGAAAATCGAAATTCTTGGAGCCCTTTACTACGGCATCTCTCATAATCATATGGTGGTTTCAGGACGTTAAACGCCAACAGTTAATATCAACTTGAATGTTTCAAATGTGGCTACAGTTCCTTAACATTTATATATTCTGCTTGTCATGACGCCACTTCAGTCATTTTACTACCACTAAGTATATCCAAAAAGTGTTTATGGCAGTGTAAAATAAAATTTTGCACGATGCATCCAGCCGGTTCTGCAAAAACATTTTATTTTTCCTGCATGATCACGCATAAGTTGAGCACGGCGAAAAAAAGTTCAATTCATTGAAAAAAAAAACTAGCAGCAGCTATAAGACAGCGGCGAGTGTTTTCATGTTTTCTAAAGCGTCTAACTGAAACGCCACGCTTCCTTCGTGACTGTTGATTTTGCAAGAGCTTTCGCAGATACTTCCAGTGCATGCAACGACCCTTGCTTACACGCGTAAAGCTGCACTTAGCAGAAAAGTACGAGCCAACAAAAGACTCATACTTCCCAACTATGTTCGGTTTTATACCACAGCCAGCCCATAACATCAGAGAATGTGCACTGTTCAGCGCCCACTGTGCCTCAGATGAGACAACATTGCGTTTTCGCTGCAGTTTGCCCCTTAGAAAAATGGAGCAACTTAATATTTTAACTTCCTCACCGGCCTGCTCGAACCTAACCAATTTTGGCAGCAGTAGGTGATCCAACTCAGCACCTTCCAATTCGCAAAGACCAAAAGTAATGGTCACTGGTTCAGTGGGAAATTATACGTGGTTCCAGCTTGTGTTAGGAAGCACGATGCGGCACACGTATTCCGCACTGCGCTCACTCTGCGGCTCCACTTATGTCGTGTAAGTGTTCTGCGGTAAATTCCAATTCTGCTCGAAGCTGTTGTTCTAATAGTTGTTCACCTACTTCAAGCTGCTGATGCTTTACAGTCGTCCTTGAATTGTTTTTTTTTTTTTGAAATTGGGGGCTCACCTTGTTCACACAGGTTTCTCTCCTTTCTTCAAGTTGGTGTTTTTTTTTAAAGACGATAGTCTTTCTTGGGGACCTTCAACGAAAAAATTTTGGCCTGTCTGTCTGTCTGTCTGTCTGTACATTAGTCTGTTTGTCCACCCCAACGATACCTCAAACGGCATTAAATGGCCAACCCCATCCGCAGCGCCCACCAATATTGCTCAAGGTTTAGCGTTCATAGTTGTGCGATTGTCAATTAGAAAGCAATTATTGCGCATATCTGAGGTGCCACAACAACGCTTCGGTGTTTTCTACGTCTGCCTTTATACTAGAAGAGGCACACACAAGTAACTCTAAGGAATTTAGCATTTAATCGCGCTGCTCTGACACTGCAACGTGATGCTCAAAAAGGTGTTTCCGACGCTTTGCTACGACGTCACGATGGTGGCACCTGCCCATTGCTTTGCGTCCTCCACCTTATCACCTCCGAGACTCGCGCGCATTTTTCTCCGCGGGCGACACGCCTTCGTTTTCGAAGATAACTGCCAGATGGCACTTGTGTCTAAGGTGCCTCGATGCGCTCGTTCGCCTCCGCCACATGCTCGAGGCGCTCTAACGAAGCGCCTGCAGAATACCATTCCCCAATTTTCTTGCGCAGAACATCAAATAAACGTTTTTTTTTCACTCTCTCCAGACACAAGACTATCGTCTTTCGACGACATTTGCAGTGTAACATGTAGATTCGGGCCACTTTTTTTTTCGGGAAGTGTTTTGGCGCCGGACGTCCTTTGTTAGCAGCGGCCGATCACGTGGAATTTCAACTGCCTCACCATTCATGACATGACAATAAGTTCCCTGAATAGACGTTGCCTCGAAGTGCCATCTACAAACAACGCAGTCGTTGGTTAGTTTCTTGTTGCCCCGTTTTTTATTACGGGCCCAAATCACCCGTCGAAGTAGGTCCTTGAGAGCTCGAAACGACGACACCCTTTCCGGACATGACTTTTCACAATTTTTGCAGCCGGGCACAAAACACGTATCTACATTTGCTGGCATTGTAAAAGTGCGCCGCCAGCCGGGATGGTTCACATGGTGCGCGTCCAGAAGTTGCACAAACACAGTTGCACGTCCAGAGCACAAAACTTGCACGTGTGGCTGCTTGCGCACACTGTCAAATACATGGGGCTGGCTGTCGCGGTGAGACTCCTGCGCGCTCCCGACGACGGCTGCGCTCCTAGCAGCGTAAAAAAAATGTCGTTCCAGCTTTGCGCGCCTCTCTCCCATGGCTCGCATATGGCGTCCGTCACACTGCCCCTTCTAGCCACCGTAGTGGTAGGGTGGAGAGCGGATGCAGAGAGCGACTGCTGCACTCGGTGGTGAGACCGACTGAGCGAGTGTGTGCAGCGCACGCAGCGCAGCGAGAGCCATATGCCTAGAGTCACTGAGGAAGATTTCAAGACTACCGCAAAGGTATGCTGCACGCAGGCAACATTGAGCGGCGGCGGTAATTTCTCTTCCACGTTGTCCGGAGCGTTGTCGGCGTGCGCGGAAACCAGACTGATCTTGCCACCGCGATGCCGCGTTAGGCTCGCGTGTGTGTGTGAGGGTGTTTTCAAGAACACACTAGCCGTGATTTAGAGTCGCCGATTGTTATTCAATAACAGCGCAGTAAGCGGTGTTATTGTGAGTGTAATGTGCGGCGAGTGTCGCCATGTGCTTGCAAACTTTTTGGGGGTCATAATAGGGAGTTTTAGCTTGTACGTATACTTCTTTACGTTAACGTGTTAGCGGATACCGGTTTGCGTTTACCGTCTTACCGGAACAGATATCTTTTTAATGTTTAGCTCTTTATACGTAAATGTTTACGTACATACGTAAATGTTTACGTACATACGTAAATGCGTATACCTTTAAATTTTCGCAGACCATAAATGGTGATGCTAACTACATATAAACTGCATTTAACTTACATAGGATTGAATCACCGTTGTGGCAAAATCACGAGATGTTCTTTGATCACGTACAGTATCCTCGTATGCGCAAAAGGGTGAAAAATACAAGGCCACAGCAACGATGGTGTCGACATTTTGTGACACTTCGTGCAACCACAGTCATGAACACGTTGGCTTACGAGTAATGCTTTTGAGGTGAAAATGATTAAAAAGGTAACTCATTTGTATAACGCCGCTGCATGGTTTTTGCATCAGACGTACAATGCACGATGCTTCTGCAAAAACAATTTTGTGACTACCTGGTTCACTGTTGCTCCGCTAGTTGGCGCCACCTATCCAGCTTGTCGGGGGCTAGCACGTTTACGGCGTCTATGTTCTAGGCCATTCTAGCTTTGGTAATCCAGCTGAAACAATGTAATTGCTATTGGCACTCACACTTCAGCTTATTTCATCTAGATGGCTTGAGTCCGGATACCACGAGTTTCTATGAACGAAGGTGGATTTGTGAGATAGGGTGGAAACGTAAAGCTTTAAACCTCATCTAAGCTGTGCACTAAATTTAATTCAGCGTAACCCGAGATCCTCACTTGCTACTTTAGAAAAAAACACTGCTTACAATTCATTTGTCCACCATATATGCGTGTTGTGTGTGGGATTAACAACAAAAGTATTTGGTTGATCTCATCGAGAGAATACAGATCCGAGCGGCAAGGTTCGTTCTAAGGCGGTATAAACGAGGCGACAACTGTACTGAAATGAAAGACGTGCTGAGATGGGAAGCACTGTCTTTTCGCAGGAGAAAATTGCGCTTGAAAATGTTATTTCAGATATACCACAAAAAGACTGGCATTAACAAAGACGAGTACCTCAAGCCACCACATCATCTGTCCAAAAGATGCGATCATCCTTTCAAAATTTAAGAAGATCAGAGTAGAACGAATCTATACGCTAATTCTTTTTTTTTTTGTTCACGCTGTAGTAGAGTGAAATCATTTGTCTTGTGACCAAGTGTACTCTAATAGGAAGACTTTTTTTTTTTTTTGAAGCTGTGACCGCCCTGCTCACACGCCTTTTGGCACAGCAGGGTACGTATCTCCAAAAAAGCTTGGGGTTAGTTTTTATACTTTCCTTCAGCCGACTACAGGAGTGATTCTTCGCACAACGTACTTTAGCTTTATATTCATGTAGCACCATGTAGCATGTTATTTTCAATCACTGAGCAGAATGAACGGATAAGGGGAAAGGCCCTATCGCATGAGCATTTCCTGCAAATTTCGCTAGTATGTTACTGCATAAACGAGTGTTCCTAGAGCCACAAATTCTTTGCGATCAACTCTATGCAGCCACGTTGAACGCCGTTCTTCAGTGTTTTTCCCGCAC